TAGTATACCCTCAGAACTCTACACCAGTGAATTATGGTTATTCACTGCTATTATTCACTGGTAGGAAAAATGGCTACCGTTTTGTTTGAGGAAGTACATGTATTATGAAGATTTTATACAGCAGTCGTGGATTAACATATAAGTTATTCTCCAAACGTTTTAAAACCAAATTTTTTGTATTCTCTCATTGAAAACTCATCATTTTGTTTTAACCAATGTCAGTGTTAATTTTTATTGCCAATTTCATTCGAATTAATTGGAACAAAGTTTTCCTGTCTGCTGCCTGGTTAAGAGTCATAGGAAAGTCACTTACTATGCCTTTTGGAAAAAGTCATATTTTTCATCACTGTATGGGCTTTGAGTTCGTTGTTTCACTTTGGCTTTCAATCTGTCACATGATGCAATTGATGCGAATTATCTATTGATGTATGCATAAACCTTCGGTATGACCAACATTACCTATAAGATGGTCGTTCAATTTTCAATTTGATTCTTATCGGATATTGCACCAGGAAGATTCACAAATCAGTCCCCTAACATAGGTGATCCGCATTGATTGCGGTTTCTCTATTATATTTATTTTTTCAACTATGTATTTGTGATTTTTTTTAATTCTGTAATATGTGAATATGATTTATTCCTCCAGAACAGTGCTCCTATGTTACTAAAAGCTGGTGATGAAGCTTTGAAGCTTCGAAACATATCCCGTAATTTCGTAATTCGATAACTATAAAGTATAGTTTTGGTGGGGTAGACTATAAGGATTTCGTCCTGTCCTATGCATAAATATGATGCTGTCTTAACGTTAAATTAACGTAATTCATAAAATTTTGCTCCTCAATCGATATTCACAATACTTTTTATGAACTTTTATTTAATGATTATACTTCCCAATTACAAGATATATTTGTTTTGGAACCTGTCCTGTCAAATATCGAAGTGATGGTGCACATGCGCATTGAAGGTCTTAGATACATCCACATGGAGGTTTAACAAAAAAGCTGAAACGATGGTGAAATTGGTAGCACTAATGGCCCGTTAACCTGTCGATTCTATTATGTATACCTAAATAAAATAGTTTCAATAAAAAATAATCTTGATAGATATCGACGCTGACCACTTTCCCATAAAAATTAATTACAAAAAACAACGAGATGGGTCGTAAAAGTAAACATTTCTCGGGACCATCGGATCGAATGGACCAATTACATAACTCTTCAAGTTGACAAACTGAGTGATAATTATAAAACGGCCTTGCATAATATAAATGATAACGTTTGCATTTTCTAAGACCACCCAAATTGGGTTGGCTCCTGGGGGGCACTCGAGACATCTTCATGGGCCCGGAACATAAATTTGCCGCAGACGTGCTCTGATCACGCAAGCTCAATGGATCGATTGATTAAAACAACTGAATTTCAGTCACAGCTACGGGGGTTGGCCAAAGTCATGTCGAGAATCTCAGCTTCTCACGGCTTCTCATCTCTTGGACCGCACGAAGGGGAATCCTCATAATGTTCGAAGATCATCGTGCCCACCTGGGAAGGATAGGGAGAGACAGTGGCTATTGAATTTCTTTCGAACTTCTGGAGATCATAAATTTCAATCAAATACATCTTGAATAAACTGTTGCATGTGCCACAAAATCACACATATTTTTACCATACCATTAGCTGGTAGCTCTCTCGTTTTTTTTTTCATGTTCTGGTTCCCACGAGAAGGGATATCCTATGATGTTCAGAGAACATCGTGAGAACCAAGGGAGATAAGGTAGGAATTTGTGTTCTTCTTAAATTTCTGGAGGTTATATGCCTCGGGGAACACTTCCCTTGGCAATATGTTCCAAAATGTTCGTTGGATGAACATGTCTTCGGAAAGAGATGTTCTGCAGCTCTCCAAAGTGACGACGAAGAGGTGCGAAGCCTCAACACGACGAGTTAATCTCGCAGGGAGTGCCAAGGAAGGAACAATTATTGTTGATATTTCGGAAGTGCATCGTCCATGAAAATATCTATAAAATATAGTCAGATCGCCAACTTTTCTACGGTGTTCCAGAGAAGTGAGTGAGTTTGTGAGCGAGGCATCGTTCACGAGACGAATTACCTTTTTTCGTACAGAATCCAACAGTTTCAGGGTATGTTTGGGTGCTGCACTCCAAATATGGGAACAGTTTTATAGGACAGGTCATTATTTTTTTTTCGGAGATGGTTGAAATCCTCCATGGACATCACAGAGGACCAATTTCCTTGGGAATCCCTATAGATGTAGGTGTACCCACCAAACACCTTCTTCCAAGGCTCGTCAGACTGAAGTCTCCAACAACACTTAGGCCCATTATTGGATCATTGTGTCTTACCTCGACTATGCCTTCATTCATTCTACCATACGACCCATGGTTCTTCATTCTTCAATGCATTGGTTTGTTGTCTATCTCTCTTTAGGAGCGATAAATGTTCGATTTGGAATTTCAACGTGTCAAATTAATTATTGGTAATCAAATGAAAGCGAAAAATCGGAGTCGTTTTGCTCTAACAAACTTATGGATTGGTTAATTTAGGTCACCAAAGATTTCAAGTGATACATTGAATTTCAGTCACAGCTACGGGGGTTGGCCGAAGGCATGTCAAGAATCGCAGCTTCTCATCTCTTAGAGCGCACGAAAGGGACTCCTTATAATGTTCGAAGATCATCGTGTCTACCTGGGGAAGACAGAGAGAGAAGGTAGGTATTGGATTTTTTCGAATTTCCGGAGATCATAAGTTCTTGGATATACCTACATTACGAGAAATAGGAATCGAAACGTTCAGGACGAAGGTTTCAATCATATACATCTTGAATGAACTGTTGCATGTGCCACAAAACCACATATGTGTTCACCAAACCATCTGCTAGTAGCTGCTCGTTGCCTCTCTCTCTTTTTTAGAATTCAATGTTTTTTTTTCGGACATGGTTGAAATCCTTTATAGAAACCACGAAGGACCAATTCCCTTTGGAATCCCTTTAATGTAGATGTACCCACTAAACACCTCCTTCCAAGGCTCGTCTAACCGAAGTCTCCAATAACACTTAGGCCTATTATCAAATCACTGTATCTTACCTCGACTATGCCTTCATTGATTTCATCATACGACCCAAGGTTCTTCATTCTCCAATGCATTGGTTGGTTGTCTATATCTCTCTTTAGGCGCGATAAATGTTCGATATGGAATTTCAACGTGTCAAATTCATTATTGTAAATCAAATAAAAGCAAAAAATCTGAGTCGTCTTGCTCCAACAAACTTATGGATTGGTGAACTTTGGTCTCCAAAGATTTCAAGTGATACATTGACTCACCTCAATATAAGGATACCAAGTTTAGTGAACTATTCAGTGCTAATTTTTCTCAATACAAATGAGATCAATAACATGATTGCAGTTCCAGACAAGAAATTTTTTTATTCATATCAAGATAATGAATAATGGTATATTTCACTTCTATATAGTTACTAGATGCGCTGTCGTCTAGATATTATTTTATGATTTGTTTCCAGAGAATCACAAAGTTAGGTTAGGTTTCATGTGAGTGGGGTGAATAACACCCCTCCACCGCAACCTCTGATGTGTTTATTGTGGCTCAACCCTATAGAGGTTACTGTTCACTGTACGATCCACTTTTCTTGACAAAGTTCATGGTTTTATGAGGTGAAATTTTCCTGAAATCGGTAGGTTTCATATAAATAAAACCAAATAATGTTCAACCTCAGATTCTCTAACCAAGAGCAAAAACATAATATGTATTCGCCGTTTCGACCTCCACATATTAGAGAATAGTGTCCGGTTAGAACTAACAGGTTGGTCCTGCTCCATTTCAGGATCTGCCTATCGAGGCGAAAGTCATTTGAAGCACCTTTAATTTGTTGAGAAATGCTGTTGGAATATTCGTCATTTAGATTCTTTGGAGGATACTTTCGAATCTGTGGACCAACAAAACTACCATCTGTAATTCCTGCATCTCTCAACCTTGTGAATTTCTGACGCAGGTACTGAAATATTGTTCCGCCATTTTTCAGTAAGGATTTAGTCGATTTCATTTTAGATAAATTTATCCTGTTGCTCAGTAAATCATTTTGCGGAATCCAATATGACAAAAAAATGGTCCGATTGCATCAGTTCATTTTGTATAAATATATTTCCCAAATGAATCGAATATCGAACCTATTGATTCGAGTCATAGATATCTTCGGCATGTCTGAATGTATGTTTACTAGGTGAAAACATTCGACATCAATATAGGGACAAAATTGGAAATTAAATGTTGAATCAACAGAATTTCAATATGGTTATTAGTGAATGTTCATTTGAACGGAATACGATAATAAGTTTTGAATTTCAAAAGTGTTTAGGACAGGTTCGTAGGAGGTTTTCGTTTAAATGACCAATGAGATATCAATGCATGAATTCCATACACGCATTGACATCGGAAATTTCAGTCGATTCAAAATTTTGTGGAATAGCAACATTGAACCGGAAGTAGTACAGATGGAATCGTGAATTCGTACATATACATTTCCAGGTGATACTATAATTCGAATAGTATATCACCGGCATTCTGTTATCCTTCTTCATACTAGAAGTCAATGTCGACTCTTTTTATCTTGAATGAAACACCCTGTGTCTCATCCTAACTTTTTTGGACAATATCCATTCTTGGCCACTTCATGTAATAATAGCAATATTTGATATTGTCATACTGTGTCATATTGATGTGTTCAATATTATTAATCATTTCAAATCAACCTTGTATAGCCTAATTAAGCGCCTGAATACCTTCTGGTACTCAAAATCAACCTGTTGACTGTTCGCAATTTCACATTGAAGTTTTTCTTTTCTTCAACTACACGAAGTTTCTTGTACAACATCATTAGAACATCTGTTGTGTATTGCATCATGAAAGGGAAAGTTTCTCGAGTGTTATGGTGTGAGGTTATTTAATGAAACACAAAGCAATGATAAATAATTTACTAAATCCTAATATAGCACATTTATCAAAGCCAATACAATCCGAATCTTAAACACCAATGCTTAGATTCGCTACTAGTCCAACAGTCCGTCATCACAATCAACCCTCTCCAACATCACATACACATATTAATCTTCTTAGTCACGTTACAAACATCGCACTGCACCTCACAGCAATACTTGAAAGTACAATTGCAGTTGACTTGCACTTCCTCCTGGCGCGGGACGAACCCCCTCCCGCAACACAGTATCCCACAGCCTTCTTCTCCCTGCGACGAGTCGTTGCACGTGCGATCGCGCGTACCGAACGACCCCAGCGCGTTGTCGGGATCACAAAATGTCGGCGACTCCTCCGAGTACACCAGGTCCACACGGCCGGGGCGCTTGATGGTGGCGCCCTCTGGCTCGAAACTGCGGCCGTCGTTACCCGCTATGACCTTGGCTGCGCCGTCGAAGCGCTCCTTGAGGCGGTTGCCCACCTCGCGGAAGGACGGCATCTTGCGGGTGCAGGTTTTGAGGGTGCAGGAGCCCGAGAGGCCGTGGCACTTGCAGACTGTGCGCATGTAGTTCTTGATGGCCTGTAACGAAGGAAGTGGTGATATGCAGACAGTGTTGTTCCTGGGTCTATTTTTTTCGTACCAGATTTTCTTGAAAACAGATAACAGATTTGAATCAAAGGGTAATAGATTGGGATAGTCTGACATTTGATATTCTAAATTTCATTCTTGACAACCTCCATCCCCTGGATTGATCATTCATAGTTCATAGATCAGAACATAATCATTCTCTGAACACAGAAATAGATCAAACATATTTTGGAGCTAACAGCAGATAGTAATAGATTCATGACAAATTGTAATAACGTAACAACCTCCGGGAAATAGTAATAAATCTATTACAACAGTGATGACAAGAACAACACTATATGCAGACAAACCCAACTTATTAAGTGCACGATGTGATATTGGTATCCCAAGTAACACACGAGGAGCTCTTTTGCGCCTTAAGCTTTATAAATGATTTATTTCGGCCTTATGAAGCTACTTGGCTACATTAAAGCATCGTTTGTCACTAAAGTACTTCATTCGGTGAAATAAAATTGCTTATAAAACTTTCTCAATGCTTAGATACGGGTCTGCTTCAATTAGGAATCTGATATATCGTTTTATTTCTTTATGAAAGGTTTAGTGATATCTTTATTATAGAAACAAATTTCACATGTTCATAAGTGTTGTTTAGGCCTGTATATAACAATCACCCAACTGTTTTAAAGCTTCGCTAATTCTCTATAGAGGTTATATAATACTGAGTTTTAAATAATCTCAGAGCAAAATTTAACTCAGTTATAGAACTTCATGCCAAATACCATCCATGTCAGACCTTATACAGTATGTATGCTTGTAGAACAAGCGTGTTTAATGAAGCATTCATACAACAGAAATTTTGTTTTGGAGCTATATGAAGCTGTAGCTTTTTGTCTCAATAAACCTTCTCTTCAAATTGAGTATTCTAGAACACGTGATTTTGATATTGTTTCTTGAAGGGTGTACTATCTGTTTAGGTTACATGTGATGGTCATAGCCCTGGCCATCTCTGCTCACATCCACAATATAATAACAGTTTTCCCAAACCAAATTATGAAATGTTTTCGATTGAGTTCCAACTCGAATTCCAAGGAAAACGATCCCACTAATTCTGATGTTTGCCATTCAACGACCTGTCAAATGACGTAATTCTCGAATGATTGATATCAACTTACTTTGTGAACGAGAAATACAGGTTTGTATGGGTTCGTGCAAGATCTGTCAGATGACCGAGCCTGAAGGTAAAACATTGAAACACAATCTCACTTTTCCTATTTCTTTACAATTCCTGGAATTCTTTCTGCAATTGCAGCTGATAGAAGTACTCGTGAGGTTTTCAAAAGAAGGCAAGATGATTGGATTCATGCAATCAAACGGAGGACTGGTCTGACATGCTGACGAAATATGGTCGTGTGTGTTGTTGACATTCTAATGAGAAATGACAACATAGTAATGAAAACTATGGGAGATCACTATTTACCTTAAAAAACATATTCCTTCTCTCGTTGCATATTTTGTGCATTGTACAACAGAACAATAAGATGGCATGTTTAATTTAATGAATAGCACGAAAAACACGATTCATATGTCATAATATTGTGAAAAACTTTTTCAATCCTATGATTCATTTTTTAGCAAATGAGAAAAGTGAGGTTTGTGTTTCAATGTACAAGTACAAGAGCCTGTTTCAACAGAAACATTTTCTTCGCATGAAAAGTTCCTGTTTCCATGGACAGCAGCAAGTACTCAATAAGTTATTAAAAGTTTAAGGAAACTGAAAAGGAGTATCGCTTCGCAAATTATTTATTATTATTAATTATATTATCGAGCGAACCTTGCCATTTTTAGACGTTTCTGGAAAAAAATATGTCCATATAAATCCATCAGAGAAGTGATATCAATCAATAATGAAGGTAGGCTATTTTATGAGTGGCTTTCTAGATCAATAGATCTTCAAAGAGAGATATGATGATAAGAAAATAATTTATCATTCCCTGAATAGTTGCCAAATATAGGAGGATATATAACTTGCATATCTCACATAGTGTTTAATATCCCAGTAACTGACTGAATAACGTTTATGGATGAGCTGACCTAGTGCAACTGATGAGACACAACATTCTATGTTGCATCAGTTGACATTTGCTTCAAAATAATTCCCTATAGCAGCCTTGAGAATTCACGTTTATACAAGATTTTTACTCCCAGCATTACTCACCAGTCGACCAGCGACGTAATTGTGTAATTTAACTAAAGTTTTCATATCACTCCTCTTTTTGTAACGTGTGTCGAGAAAATCCTTGGACTTTTTTATACCAAACTCTATGTTCTCCCCGCACCCGTCCCATTCCCAATCGCCCTCAGGGAGTTGGGGGTACTTCTTTTTGTTGTTCTTCTTCCTCTTTCTTTTGGAGCACGAGCAACCTATTTGCTCGCCTTTGGTACAAGCTCTGGTCACTTGGTAGGTGATACCTGCTGCTATGATTGCGTTGACGAAACCTGTCTCTCTTGTATCTGCAACAAAGATTCATTTTGGAAGATTCATTAAGACGACAAAGACGTTGCTGGTCTTTACATAATATTAATCAAACGATACTGACAGGAATGATTCCAAAGAAGATAGAGTAGGTCCTAGTAGAGCCAGGAAACTTATCGATATGAGACTGGCTCAGTTAGAATTTCAAAAATTGAATGCGATTTCATTTTGACTTGGCAGAGCTATCACTGAACGAAAAGGGATACTTTTGCCAATAGCCAAATACTCAACTCTGAATCAATGTATAACCTCTAATAGGAAATGCATGGGATAGGTATTCTGCTTTCATCGATATTTCACTTACTTATATATCATCAATTACATGGATTGAACAAATGGATCAATAGCAAGATCACTTCAATTCGAAGAAAAACCTTTACATGCTTCCAATCAATTGTCAGAAATTTACGGAAATCTGACAACCTCTGAACTCTGAATGAACATATATTATTATCCGCTAGATACTCATCGACTCTACTATATATAGAAAATATTTACAAAATAGTGCAGGTTTTCCTATTCTCTGTGTTTGTTTCCGATATGCTGTGATAATATCCACCACTGTCGATTCCGGTCCCTAGTCATCTTGGATATTGGAAAATAGACAATTTCTATGTGTAGCGAATAAGAACACCTGAATTTACGGTTTTTCTTGGTAGACGCTATCATAGAGCAGCCCTCCCGATGCCTCAAAAACGCTTTGCTGTATTCGATATTGGAGACAAGAATCTTGGAAGAGAACGCAAAAGCCCTGAAAAATCATCTAATGATGCCTAAGCTATTCATCTCGTATAATTGACATTCTATTCTATTGAGGTTCTGGAAGGTCTATACGTCACGAAGTAGAAAAATCAACTAGATCTGGAAGATTTTGATGAAATAGATGTTTCGTTTTCCATTTATCACCCATGGAGTATGCTATCTTGGAAATAGCAGAACATTTTGCTGCAAAGAGTTGATAAAAATCCCAGAAAAAAAAACCAGCAAGACCTCGATTTATCTGATTGGTTTTGATAAGTTCTCCGGTTACAATCCATATCCGTACACAAACCATGTTGCCTTCTGAAGAGCGAAAATTTCTCAATCTAAACGAGCAATCAGTGTGTGTAAAGACACCGTTCCCAGCACGTAGTGCTTCTTCTCAGTGTCTCAATCAGATGAAGACGACGATATCCAACCGACAAGGGGAATTGTCATCGAACGATCCAGATTGTGATCTGAGTCGATCCTGGTAAATCACATTTGCAATTATTATAAGCGTTAACAAGAACTGGTGCTCTCGAACGCTCGTTTCATTCCAGTTATGCGGAATAATCAGATAAAAATCAGCAGTCGCGGTTGTGTCTTTCGAAAATGCGACGTTTTGCATAAATAAATTCTTCAGTTTTATTGGTTGATTTTTGATGGTGATGCGAGGAAGCTGGCTGGGAATGTACAATTATTATTGCTTCATCCAGAGAGACAGGCAATTTCTAGAAGCAAATGCTGATTTCTCAAAAGATACTTAATCAAAGTAAAAATGTTGGACCTAGATCAAACATAACAAAAATAGATAACAGAATTTAAAATCTCATCCTGGAATGGAATATTTGATTCTGAATAAAGGAGATATATTTGGAGAACTGATAGATTGGCTATATAGACGTCCTCATGATAGAATAACACAATGTAATCTAAAATTGAACCCAAAGATGTAGAAGGGATATTCACAAGTCTGGTATACTTACCAAATAGGTACCCACTTAAACGGTTTTGAATATACCTTTTCGATTCTTGTAATATTACAGCATCAGCTGTCACTTGACCAAACTGCGTAGTTTTCGAAACACAAAGTGGTGTGATACTCAAAGAAGTAGGTACAACGAGTATAGGTAGTGATAATTACAATATACTGCAGTTTCATAGGCAGCAAATTTTCGACACCTGTTATAATAGGTACTCTCTTTCATGAACCACCTCCTGATTTTCGCACAGTTTTAGGAATCTCCCTGTGGAATTTGCATTCCTTGAAGTGATATAGTCTTTGTCTTCGTTTCGGTCGTGCAGAAATCCTTCGGAACCACTGCATTGCACTCGCTTCGAATTCCAGCAATAACTTGATCACTAAACGTCGAAATAAGGCCTCAAAATCCACATCCACGAGACGTATAGCCGTCAACCGCATACCTGATTACCTGATCGGTCCATTTTCAAATCTGTAAACATTCGCTCTCTCCATGGCATCCGAGTTTTTTATCGACCTTTATCTCGAGCCCTTCTCTATTGTCTGCCAGCGAGATGTAATATATATTCACATCATCAGGATACAGTAGATGATACCATTGATAGCCGCCAGTTCGGTATCTGAATTTGTAACTTTCTTGATGTAAGATAAATTGATGGAGTGAACGTGAGACACTCATCGATAAACAATATTTTATTTATACTCATCTCGAGTTTGGAGTGACTTGATGTATACGTAGTCACATCAGTACTAAGAATGCAATCGCCTACCCTTTCTTAATATGGAAATTATCGAATATCAGATTCATGAGTAGAATAACTGCGTATAATGTGACGATTATCCAACAATGAAGCACTTCCGATTTAATTTCTTTTTGGAAATACTATAACAGACTATTAGGTTCCATATTGATGCTCCATGAGACGAAAACTGATGAAAAATGAACAAAATTCGAACTAATGATTTGTCATTGGTTGTCAATTTATTTTCACAACACCCACCTCTCAACATGACTTTCTTGATACTCCTCTTAGCAGTAGTACAGTTCCATCTCCTGAATCTGAACTGATACTGGCACTCGTTCTGGCCCAGTGCAATTCCTCTTGCTATTTGGTGCAATAAACCAGGTTTCTTATTGCAGATGTCTGCCATTTTGCCACGTGACCATCTTGCTCTTTTACACGTTTGATTAGGATCGATGACTAGATAGTCGGCGGCCCTGTAACAATTTTTTTCAAGTTATAATATTCACCGACATGAACTTGATTTTAACGAAGCGTCCGCCAACACCAGGAAACATGACTCGTTGTCCTGAATGACACTTCAGGCATTCCTGCGCATACAGCAGAACCGTTTTCAGGTGAATGAGATTAACGGGTATACTGAGATATAATATGATATACAGTGTGTCCAGATTCGCTTCTATACAGGCATAGGGGTCTTGGCTACTATTATACCTACAGCAAAGGTTATTTGGTGAAAGATTTAGAGGAAACTTAGTATGCATGCGGTAACCAGCTTCAGATTTACTATCGGCTGATTGGTTTCAGAAATATCGACAAAAATGGTGGATTTCGTTTTTTCCAGTGAATCTGAAAGGGTTGATTTGACAGCTGTCAGATGTTACATTATTCGGACACTTTTTCAAGATGAATAAGATAATGTGTATGACCTGTCTCAATCATCTTTTGTTATCTCGGAAACCACCTTGATTGTGTTACAAGTATTCCGGGTCGCCAAGGTCGTTAGATAATAATAATAATAATAATAATAATAATAATAACAATAATAATTTGTTTTTATCTGTCCTCAAGAAAGAACAATGATACAGAGGGCAAATGGGCGGAGGTCTAGTCATGATGACCAGATGAATCCAGTCAATCCCTACTCAACTTAACCCCAAATTGAATAATCATGTTCTTTTCAAAATATGGAATTTCATACCTAAATTATAAATAAACAATACAAAAGCAATAACGACAAATTCAATACGATAGATATCTCATTATATCATCTCCATTCATATGATAGTATCAACAATATTTTCAACATTTGTTTCATATCAGAATTGAATGCTATCAAGTATTATTGGCGGAGACGTTGCGATGACATAGAAAACTAAGGGAAAACATGTCTAACTTTCAATCTATGCCTAGATTTAGGATGTTTTTCCGTAAGTTTTAATGTCATCGCGATTGCATTTACTTTGTTAATTCAGGTCTGAATTTTTCCAAAGGAAGGTCATGATTCACTCGTGTGAAGATCAGGTTTTTTAAATCTAAGGAGGCTCTGACATTTGACGGACAGAAGTACCTACAGCTTTTGGAAATCCAGGTGGAACCGGCTTTATACGAGATACTATACCCGCAGATAAATTTAACTCTTCAGAAGGCTGAAGAAACAGATTTCAACAAGATGGATGTCTGGAACACCATTCAAGTCAGGAACTTCCTGAGGGAGCATTTTGATAAGAATTTTTTGCATTAACAGGTACAATTAAATTACTTAGCCTTTCGCCCTTGGATTTTGTCCTTTGGGGTTACACAAAGAATGAAGTCTAAGAATTCAAACCTGCGGCCATATAGAAATTTTTGAGACACATTACACATTCAGCATCAGAAAAGGAAATGCACTTTTGGTATTGGGTTGTACAAAAACAGTCTCCAATTGCCAAGACTGCCTCGATGTAAATGGATCTCATCTTGCAAATCTGTAAATGAATACCAAGTAACGAAACAAACATAATCAGATTTAACATTACATTACACTTTACTTCAACTTGTTGAAAACAAAAACTTATGAAATGTCAATTGAATACCTGCCTGTGAGGTCAGGTCAATCAGTGAATGTTTTCCGATTCGCTGCCAAATTATGTGATAAAAACGGTTTCGAAATATATAATTTTTCATCGGCATGCATCATGAACATCTCATGTATGATAAACAAATCACTGGTAGGTAGTGTATAAACTGCGGCTATATAGTTTTCATCAACACCCATGATCCCATATAAATCTTTATTACTCGCTTTTCCAACATGTGATAAAAAGTTTGCTACTGTAAATTTTCGAAAAACCATTTTTTTAACGTTAAAACTTATTTGTAAGTCTAAGTTCATAAGTGCATCATTGGATTTTCAGTGATTTCACTGTATACATATATATACCTGCCTAAGAGGTAATAAAATAGTTTATTTGAAGTAATAACTCGTTTTGTGTGGTGAGAATGTAGCTTGCACAGGTCGAGATGACAGAATGTTTATAAACACTTGGGTTAATGCTCAAGAGCCATGATTAGTTAATAGACTCATTAACGCCAGATTTAGAATGCACGTATCATGCTGTTCTTCTCATATTATTTATGTATGATTTTTAGAAAAACCTCATCATCAAACATCTGCTGAATATTGAATCACCTAATTGCAAAATTGTATGTTTCCAAAATACAAAATTTTATAGTTGTTCTTCGTTCAGAGGTTGCATCATGATTAGTACCAAATTTGGTACTGAGGATGTTCCTAGGTTGATCTAGATGAAGAGAGAGCGGGCTTTACGACAAGTTTGCAATGCAATGCAATGCAATGTAATGCAGATTATGGTGCTGTGCTATCGGCTACGTATATGTACATCAAAATTGTGACTATATCGTCATTCTTCAACCTGGAGTTCATGTGTCAAATGAAAATCAATCACACAAATATATGTACTATTCAAAATCGAATTGGTGTGGAGCAAAATGTCATTACTTTCTTCGCTACTTATTCAGTACTATACTTTATGAGCAAATATAAATTATCTTGACGATTTCTTTACTTGGCAAAATCAAGTCGGAACACACTGTATAGCACCTAGCACCTGTCTTCACCTGTATATTCTGCGATGTTTCTCTGCTGTCGACAAATCATTTCTCAGACTCATCGAGTCTGTTCAACATAGTTATGGTTACACTAGCTCTAACTGATATTTGTGTACAAAAAGTCTTGTCAGAATATTTATAGCAGCTGACGGGATCTCATTCAACACCGTCGGAAAACAGCTTGACAGTAAACGATTTCTCGAAAAAATGAATTCGAATGTTCGATATCAGACGGTATCCGCAGTGTTGAACACTTTTCCGTTCCATCAGGAATGCTATAAGAAAAGTGCAACTTTTCTATCTAGTTTGATGTACTAGGTATTTTGTGGAAGTCAAACAAATTGGTGAAAATTATAAAAATCACCTAATGCATCCACGTACTCGTATAAAAAAACTTTGAACTATTTTGTACATCGAGTACAATCTGTTATATTTATTGAAACATTTCTACACTAAAGAGGTAGGCTAATTCAAGGTATAGACGTAGAAATGATGTAAACCTGCAAAATATATTTCAGATGAGTGGAAATAACAACTATATAGAAATGACGACATGGGATTGGTTGTAGACGAAGAGTTGACAACAAATTTCATTGTTAGATCAATATCTTCTACCTTATTGTACTGCCGTAACATCGTAAAAACTGATCAGGATGTCTGGCAGGTTTTCAGAGGTGGAGGCGGCCGTGGTATGGTCGTTAAGGGTTGACAAAAATCAATGCGACGTACGATTAATATGGCGCTGAATTTTTAAGAAGCGATTTTTTTTGTTACTATAGATTCTCAGTTAACCTGAAATTATTTGTCTATTAAATTCAAATCTTGCGATACTTCTGCGTGATCCATGAACAAAGTGAAATATTATTGAAAGGTAACCGATGTTACTGATGTGATAAAGCATTCGTGTAGTTGTAATCGTTATAATATTCCACCAATATCAAATAGATATGGGCAGATAAATTCCGGCTGGTCACAAAATCTCAATGTTATTACAACGTTGGCACTGGATTGGTTATTGAATAATCGAATGAAAAATTGATTTGATATTAGGACAATCTAGTAATTCCATATTCAGTATTCGAATATTGGGCTAATTTGAAATCAAGTTCTAGCCAATATGACGATCTACCTGGGTAGAGTAATAAGTCGTTGGGACAACCTTGGCTGAGCTTCTCTGTTTACAAAAAAGAACTGGTGTGCGTTGGACCCCACGTCGGAAGTGATAACTTCTATACTCTTTCGAACAATACTAGAGAAATCTTTTGATGACATCCTTCGTTGCATCAATTCCTTCTTTTGATTCCTTGCTTCTCTGGATTACTTCCTTCTTTGGTTTCCATACTTCTTTGCTTTCCATACTTCTTTGGGTTTCTTTCGCGGTGACCCCAGAGAGACGCAAGAACCCACACCAGCCGTCGTCGATGCCGCATTTGAACAGTAGCGTCCAGAGACAAAGTACTACAAATAATCATCACAGTGGGGAAAGTTACAGCGTGGGTACAGCGAATTGTATGGGAATGAACTGGTGGATTGTTCCTTCACTCAATGTATATGTTTCCTTCTTGCTTGCATATGTTGAACAGAGGCAAATATACACTCAGTGGAGAAACACCACAACAGTTCCTGCCAATGGAATTAGCTATAAACTCTTCTTTCATACTATAATTCTCAAGTTGACTCGTGGCGCAGTTGATTGTGTGTTTCAATCCAACGCCCACGATCCGGGTTCAATGCCTGCGACGTTAAGCTTTTTCATTCTGTTTTCTCAAGTGATTTACCAGAATATATTCATGTACTCTTCAGGAACAAGGTTCATTTAGGCTGAGTAAGGTTAGATTCTTTTGAATAGTTAGTTGCCTTCCTTATGCAACAATTATATTTCCATCCTTTCCTGAAAAAATACTGCGGAGGCATTCACTGCTGGGGCCAATGGTGATTCACTATTTCAATGATGTTTTTCTGTGACACTTGATTACGCCAATTGAGGGTATTGATTATTCATACAAATGATATTACTTATTATTGTTTCGCTGCAATATTTGTCCCGCGTGTCGACAGGTTTTCTGTACCCGCGCTGTAACGTTCCCCCACCGCGATTATCCTTTGCAGTACCCTGTCTCTAGATGTTCGTCATGTCAACATATACATATGCCGGTCTCATCACTTCCAAATTTGACCGCAGTGATATTTCTTACCACACCAGTACCAGTCCATCTGGTTCGTCAATGCCCCAACAATGGTCTGCGCCTCTCACGTCCGCTGATCATGTAGTTCTGTGTGTATGTGAGATACCGATGCACTAGCACTCGGCTCTCGGCAAACTGGTACCAACTGGAGCCCGTACCGGCACCTGCGAACATGTGTT